ATGTTTTTAAGCAAAGATAATTAAATTCCAATAATTTAGGAGCTGCATCATTAAAAAAAAAAAAATCACTTGGTGGAAGTCAGTTGAAACTTCAGGAGCTTTCCAGCTTTCATAAGCTGCACATGAGATTTTTAAAATTGTTGTGCCAGAAGAGAATTTCTCACATAGTTAGCAACTTATTGTAATGGTCAATTAGTCCTATCTGAAAAAAAAAACAAAAAAAACCCAAACAAACTATTTCAAAGTTCATCCAGTCTCAGTTGAATTCAGCTGAATAGTATCACATTGCTGTCCTGCCACTCTGAACGTGAGAGGTGGTCACACAGCTCAACTTGCTACTTTCCCTGATTTGTTCCAGCTGAAGAAGAAGAAATTAGAGGCCAGGTCAAAACTTGAAAATTTGGAGGATCTTGAAAAAATTATTGAGCTGAAGAAGAAGAAAAGATGCAAGAAAGTGAAAGTGCCTATTTTAAAGAAACCTGAACCAGAAGTTATTGTAAGTTACTTCAAAGTAGCTTATTCTGGGAAAGTATTAATGGGGGTTTGTGCCACACACATTTATGTTCTCTGTATTCTTTCCTTCAGACAGGACCTGTGGATATTCCCACATTCTTCAAAGCTGCACTGGAGAATAAGTTGCCAGTAATTGAAAAATACCTGTCAGACAAAGGGGATCCAAATGTCTGTGATAAGGTACAGTCTTCTTGCTAATGCAAAGCCTGCTACAGAAGAGAACAAAACTAACTTTTACCATAAAGTTTTGTAGATTCCACCCTCATGAGAGGCAAAAAGGGGTGGGGCAAAGTAAATAAATGCTGGAAGTTAAGTACATCAAGTTTTCTAGTGGCCACTGAGACCCTTCAAAATCATATTACCTCAAAAGAGTCTTTATATTTAAAAGAAGGCTGTTGGTGCCCAGGAGAACCTGATTTTCTGTAAAAGGTGATCTTCCAATGCTATGAAAAAAGAGATAAGAAATTGTTCTGCAGAACAACAGAAGTAAGTGGCTTCCCTCTTACTCCATGATGCATGAGTTTCAAGACACAGTGTAGCATGTTGGATGGGGAACTCAACAGGCATAATTTTAAATCTGGATGCCATACTGCAGATACTTCTCTCATCCTTTAAAATGCTGTGTAGGCAGCTCTCAGCTATTAGGTTGCTGTTAAAATTTAGCAGATTTCAGGTCTCAAAAGCTCTTTAAAAGGAATCAGCATGGAGTGTGTATTTGCCATCATCTTAGGGAGGACGGGAGAAAAGATTTAAAGATATTTTGTGCCATATGTAATATCTAACTTTGCCCTGCTTCAATTGCCAGTACAAACGCACTGCGCTGCACAGGGCATGCTCTGAAGGACATCTGGAGGTGGTGAAGAAGCTGGTGGAAGCTGGAGCCCAGCTTGAACAGAAAGACATGGTATGCACATCCACTCACACCTCTTTCCAAAAGCTGCTCATTGTTTTATAGGTGCCAGGAGAACCATTTATAGAAGTGCTTCTTAGAGAGGAGGAGTACTAAAAGGCCTTGCAATGCCCTTGAAGTTTATCCTTAAAATAACATTGTTGAGAAGAGGTTTCAGCAGGGAGTGTCTGCCTCCCTGTGCCAAAATGGTTGTTGGAAAACAGAGAAGGGCTGTCCAGCAGAGTGCCACAAGCAGGAAAGCCTGGGGCAGGGTAGGAGAGCTGAGGTCAGGCTCCCAGCCCAGCCTGCCGGCGGGTGCTGCCAGCGCTGTCCCACGCAGGTCCCCAGGGGCAGCAGGAGCACCAGGATTTCACGGCTGCGCCCGGGAGAGCCCCCTGCTCCTCTGCAATGCTGCCCACAGGGGGTCCTGCAGCTGTTCCTGTGCTCCTCTGCCCTTTTCCCTTGGCTGAGCAGTTGGCACTGCCAGCCTTGCTCCCCCTCGCTAAGTTAGAGGGGCTCACAGAGGGTGAGGAAGAGGAGGAATGACAGGCAGAGTGCGAGCATCGAGGGACTCCTCCCAGCACAGCTCAGGGCAGAGATGCTGAACCTTGTAGAGGAGAGGGGTTTTAATTCACTTTGTGTACTTGCATAACTTGGGGATTTGTTTTTTTAAAGAGAACTATTCTTTCCCTTGAGTTTAATTTTCTATGCATTTTAGAATCCTAAAGGCATTAAATAAAAAATATTAACTAGCACATACCAGCCACAGACCTGCCTAAAGGTAACTTCTAAACTCAAGGAATAAACAAAACACATCCTCTCTCACAGCAGCATTGCCAAGATCTCTGTCTTTAGGAATAATATGCAATGAATGTGAAGAGTGAGGAATTCACAGTACTGCAGAAATTAGGGCAAAATAAGAAAAGCTGTTACTAGAAACAATTTTTTTTTTACTAGAAACTGTGATCACTGTGTGATCATAGTGAAGTGCTCTAGGTTAAATCACACAAAATTAATTTGGATTAATTTAGCAATTTGATTAAAATAGTGTTTTTAATATAATGATGTATTAAAATACTTTTAATTTCCTTTTCCTATTAAAGCTTCATTCTACAGCTCTGCACTGGGCATGTCGGGGTGGAAATCTGGACGTTCTGAAATTCTTACTGGACAAAGGGATAAACATAAATGCAAGAGACAAGGTACGTGCTGCTGGAACTCTGCAGCTTTTTAAACTGGAGACAAAAAGCTGACCATGCTCCCAGTAGGCAACTTCTGGCAGCTGTTTTTGAAGCAGCTTTCACCTGTTCCATGGCACTGACCATCTCCTGCCCTGACCCGCAGCTGCTCAGCACGCCCTTGCACGTGGCTGTGCGAACAGGTCGCTACGACTGCGGGGAGCACCTCATCGCCTGCGAGGCAGACCTCAACGCCAGGGACAGGGTAAGGACCGGCAGCTGTCCCCTGCCCCTCCGCCAGCACCCAGAGCTGCCCGGCCGGGGAGCACCCCCAGCGGGGCCGGGGAGCAGCCCCAGCAGGGCCGGGGAGCAGCCCCAGCAGGGCCGGGGAGCAGCCCCAGCAGGGCCGGGGAGCAGCCCCAGCAGGGCCGGGGAGCAGCCCCAGCGGGCCGGGCAGCGCCGGCCCTGACGCTGCGCTCTGTCTCTCCAGGAAGGGGACACGCCAATGCACGACGCCGTGAGGCTGAACCGCTACAAAATCATCCGGCTTCTGATCCTGCACGGAGCAGATCTGACTCTAAAGAACTGCGTAAGTAATAGCACAAAATCCAAGTAATTTTAAAATGCTTTAAAATAAGTTTCCCACCAGAGCAAAGTTTCAAGACCGGGAGAGACTATTTTGAACAGGGTTAATTAGAACACTTCAGAGCTAATTAAAGCAGAGCTGAGACAGGGAAAGGGTAACTTGGGGGAGGTCAGGGAAACCCAGTACCTTTTTTAAAACCAGAACCCACTATCTCCTACTTAGATAACATAACACCTTTTCATTATTTATTTTACTTACTCATATCATGAAAAGATGCAAGAGACAGGACACTTACTCTGCACAACTCCTGGGCTTCAACCACCACTGAGACAACAAGGGTCTTAGCTTGTAAGAGAAATCTTTTTGTTAAGCCCACAGCTGAGGGCCAGCCCCAGCCCCACAGCTGGCAGACTGGCTATTAGCCTTTCTGCTGGCCAGCAAATCCCTGTGGCTGAGCAGAGAGAAGTCCCACACCTGGCTGTGCTCAGAGCCACTGCAGCATTGCTCAGGCTTATTAAGTGACCACTTATTACAATACAGCACCTGACAGACCTTTTGTCCCAAATCCAAACCTAGCAGCAGTAGCACAGGTTTTACCATTGTCAGTCAGTGTTTTTGACTCACAATCAATCAAAACCCCAGGTGACGAGGAAAACAGTCACTGGAGCACTCTGTACTCCCTACTCTCTGCCCACCTCCCTGAAGTGTGGCCGCTCCTGGCATTATCCCTCATCAGAGTATAACAATTATGGAAGGCACAGCCCCAAAGGCCAGAGACTTGCCCTCTCAGATGTTGTCTGCACACAAAAGTTGGTCCTACTTAATTCCTGTGGCTCATGCTGTAATTAAATTCTTATCTGAATTCTGCATTAAATGGAAGAGTGTCTTACTGAGATGGCACCTAAATATATTTTTAATCACTTCAAATTAAAACTAAAGGAACACCTGCATGTTCTGCTGGTCACAGCATTTGCTTAAACCCACTGAAACCCAGGCAGTTTTCATCATGGGTCTGACCAGGAATGGGACTAGATCTGTAGAGCAGGAGTACTCTGACCCCAGGGGTGCAAAAATAAGTCTAAGCCTGTGTGTGCGGAAGGGATTCACATCATGCAGATGCACTGAACAAGGAAAGAACAAGGACTTGGCCATCACTGGATGAAATTAAATATTCTTCTATTTCTTTTAACCAGGAAGGGAAAACCCCTATGGATCTTGTTCTTCAGTGGCAGAATGGCACCAAAGAGATATTCAACAGCCTGAAAGACAATTCCAAAAAGAGTGCCCATCTAGGTAAATTCTGAAGAGAGAAACCAGACCACGCTCTTTTTGCTGCTTTTAAATACTTCCCACAAACCTGGATGAAAATGTCCTTGAACATCTATTGAAAATATTTATGGCACTGGATTATTTAAGGTGCCTTCACTGAAAACTGCAAGAAACCTGCACAGAAATTATTTTAAAAGACAGGTTGAGTGTTGAAATTCCACTAGCTCTAAAATCGCTTTATTTATTTATATTTATTATTTATTTATTTAAAAGTAATTTTTAATTATGTTCATTATTTAAGCTTTTTTTATAGGTGCAATTGGTCTAAACACAATTTTTGCCAGCAACATAAATCCTTTGGTCTTAAATGGCAGAATTTTCAGCTATAGTAGCAACTTTTCTCAAGCCTTCCAATAGCTCTAAATAGCAAATACTTGCAACTGTTGCCTTGTCTCACTGCAAAAATAACCTGTGAATTGAGTGGTGGAATGTGGAAGAGCACTGGAAGGAGGTATACTGAGGTGCCAAGTGGATTTAATGAAGCAGTTGAGTAATGGTGTTTACACAGGGTTTGGCAATCATGGTTGATAACGAGCTCGAGGACAGAGCTCCAATCACCATGTACCCCTTTGGACTGAAGGATTCAGATATAATGTTGTGAAGGTGAGAGGAGACTGTATCAGGGAAGTGAATTTTTTAAAAACTAGACTACTACCAAAGCATGATGATAGAAGAATGCAAAATCAGATGATGTATATTTGTAAATTTGTACTGCTTTTTCTGTACATTTTGAACTGATCCATTTCAGATTAAATTAACTGAGTGGTTCTTTTTACTTGCTGGAGTGGATGATGGAGTGGTGAGCATGCATGGGGTAATTTTATCTCTCTTTAAAGGAAGTTCACATGGTGTCTGCTGCAAAATTCTTAAAAACTTAGAAGTCTCAGCTGCCAAGAGCAGCCATCCCTTGCGCTACCTCCCTGCCACTGTTAGATAAACCCCATCTCACTTATTTTGTTAACTGGAGGCACATGTGAAAGCAGAAAGACAGTATTTCAACTAGCTAGTAAAAGAAAGTTACAGTTCCTTTACTGAGTTTGATTTAAAAAATATCATCTCTTAGTTAGTCACTACTATGTGGAGCATGAGACAGCTCCAGTTATCCAAGCCAAGAGAGATGCCAAGTTCTGTTAGGAAAGGCAGACACTTCTCCCTTTGCTTTAGCAGAAGCAGGACAAGCTTCAAGGCTGCCAGCCAGAGCATGATGTCCCATTTCATAGAATCACAGAACAGTTTGGGCTGGAAGAGACCTTTAAAGCTCATCTATTCCAACCCCTCTGCAATGAGCATGGACCTTTTCAACACGATCAGGTTGCTCAGAGCCCTGTCCCACCTGGCCTTGAATGTTTCCAGGGATAGGATATTTACCACCTCTCTGGGCAACCTGTGCTGGTGTTTCACCACCCTCATTTACCCAAGTAAAAGACTTCTTTCTTGTATCCTAACTAAATCCATCCTTTTTTAGTTTAAACCCATTATCTTTTGTCCTATCACAACAGGCTGTGATGAATATTCTGGAGTAATCTTTCTTATAAGCCCCCTTTAACCCCAGTAAGGTGATGCTGGAGCCTTCTGTTCTCCAAGCTGAACAACCCCAGCTCTCTCAGCACTTCCACACAGAAGTGCTTCACCCTTCTTCCCATCTTTGTGGCCCTCTTTGGACACACTCCAACAGCTTCATGTTCTTCCTCTGCTGAGGACTCCACAGCTGGACACAGCACTCCAGGTGGGAGAGTTGAGGGGTATTTAGATGCTGCATTCAGTTGAATTCCTGATTATCCATTGGGTGGCCTGACAGACAAATATGCCATAGGCTCTCACACTGCTTCACCAACCTGTGCCAGCTGGCTTTAGTGTCTAGCCAAAGCAATGTCCTGGGCACTATCCTGAGGTGGAGTTGGAAGTAGGCAGCAATGAATAGCTTTTCCTGGAATGCCAGTTTTGGAGTGAATTTGAACAAAACCCAGAAGAGCAAGCAGAAGAACCACCTATTGTGTCTGCAGGCAGCTCTCCTAGAGTAAGGCTGAGGACAACAGCTTCAGAGAGATGACACTTTTCTCACCCAAGGGACCATAACTCACGAGTGCCACCTTGCCAGCCACAGGCCTGATTTGTGCACACATCCTTCTCCACAGAAACTACAGCTCACCTCCACCTGCTGCCCTTCACTGCAAGCCATGACCTCCCTGCTTGTTCCTGCCCAATTGCCTGGACACTGGCAGCAAGACTGGCAGGAACAGAAATGACATCAGTGCTGGCTAACTCAGTCTGTTCATTACCTAACCAGCAGCAGTTCAATCATTCAGGCACCCAAGTGGCCACACCAATGTGCTTCAGGAAACTGGGGGAGAAGAAACTTTTCAATCAGCTCCTGAAGCATGTATCTAATAAAGGGCAATGATGAAGAGTTAAATTTTAAAAGTCAAACAAGTAGCAAGAAGGATCTCAAGCATTCAAAGCCTCCTTTCACATGTTATTTACCAAAGAACTTATATCAAGCCCAAGGTAGGTTATTCTCTGGCCAAGGCAGGACTAATGTGTCATTCAGAAAACTGCACCAAACACATTTTGCTTCTTCTCTGGTTAGAGCACCCTTTTAGACGTAAGTCCATAAATGACAAACTACATTATGCATATATATATATACATATACACACACATATATAAAAAATTCCCAATACCTATAATAAAATGGACTCAAGTCACAAAGTCAACAAGTAATAACATACAGGAAACATATTTCATATTTGTTGAATGAAGCAAAAGCTGTTGTGACTTAGACCAGCATTATATAGAACTGTTAAATCTATGAGAACTTCATGTATTCTGCCCAGTCCAGTTTCCAAGAGCTCAGAAATGACCCATTGTCAGATTTCTGCAGTGTGTTTTACATGTTACAATTTCTACTTTTCAACTTGCTGTTAGGTACCAGTAGAGAACAATCACAGTAAAAATGGCTGAACAGTATCTCAGTACAGTGTAGTGTATATGATTTTTATATTCATTTAATGAAAGGAATAACCTTCAGTCAACATTTGGAAGAGCTCTGAAAATGCTCTGCTGGTTATATCTGTTTGATTGTTTTTTTGGCAGCCAGATCGGTTTACTGAGACATTAAAAGGAACGAAAACAGAAATGCAAGAGGCAGCAAAATGACCACGTGCATAGATAACAGTTCCAGAGCAGGAAGTGAAGAAGAAAATGGTGATGTGAGGTGGAGGCTGCTCAGGCCTAGGTGAGACAGCTCCTACACTGCAACGTCCCCTGCTGAGCACTCGTTCTGTGTAACCTCAGGCTCTTCCTTCCCACCTCTGCCAAACAACTAATGGTACAGTTTGATTTTAAGTTCTGAGGACACAGATGGCCTTTGGGGATATGCATGTGGCAAGTCAGGTCAGTTACTCCCACTGTAACCAAATCCAAGATACCTCTTAGGAACTGACAAATCCTGGGATCTTCATTATACCCACTGATTGAAAAACTGAATAGCAAGCAATTTTAAAAAAATGTATTATTATTCTTCTTCACAGGCCACTTGAAAGTAAACTTCATCTACTGGCTTGCAGTTGTACAGAGATATGTTTAAAACCTGGGAAACCAGAAGAGCTAGACTATGAAGGCATGTGTTCTTAGACATGTTTTTAATAAAAAAGGAATGCACGTGTACAAGTGAAAATTTCCACATTAGAAATGTTCTGTTGAGTTTGCATTAACTCCAGGACACCTAAGGGAGGGTGAAGAATCAGTCTCCTGCCCTTGGCCAGAAGCCCAGCATGACCTTTCAGATGTGGTGAATACTATTCACAGTCTCATTCACACAGTTTTCCTCACTTGAATGCTGGAAGAGTAATTCTTCTGCAGGCAAAGCAAGGTAGTAAGCGAAAAATTAGGTTGGCTGGAGGTTGGAGGAAGACTCAACCCTGGGTAAAGAAGAGATGGAGGCTTCTGTTGACAACTTGTTCAGTCCTCAAGCTTGAGTCTTAGCTTTTTTGCAGGCTGGCACTGCTGTTTCTTCCTCCTCAACTTTGCGAGGCTTCTTCACCGTGTACACGACGCCACAGGCACTCTTTCGAGTTTCTGGAATACACAAGCAAAAGCTGCAGTACCAGTACCTCAAATACTGAAATAAAGTGCATTTAAGGCATACTCAGTTCAGGTGTCCATGCCCCAAACCACAGCTGGCTATGTTGAGCAACCAGCTAGACAGCACATACAAGCAGGGCTCCTGCAAGGACAGGAGCTTGGGATTCACTGCATTACAGAGTGGAGAAACTACCGGGGGAAATACAACAGTGGGTGTAGAATTATAGCAAACCAAGGAAAACCAAGGTCTGCAGGGGCTGAGGAGCTGCAGAGACATAAAACCATTGGAAACCAGGCTTAGTCAGTTCAGTAATCACAGAAGAACACATTCTTGAAGCACTGTCAAAAGCATTCCCGAGTCAAACATCCTGTTCTTAAAAAAACACTAAAAATGCATTCACATACCCCAGGATTCTTAGACTATGTGGGCACAATTGTATTGGCAGACGATCCCCAACATACCAAGGAAGTATTTTACGGTATTCAATAATTTTATTTACCAAACTCTCATCATGAAATACTGGTCAAATAACCTACTGAGTCCAATCCAATTTTGTAATTACTGGTGGGAAGCTTCTCTGCAAAATTTGAGTTAGAAGAGATTCTCTACAAATACTTTATTAGCAGAGAGGCTCTGCAAGATCCTTGACAAAATATATTGACTTATTCTGGGCTAGTATCCTCTCTGGGACAAGGGAAATGGCACTTGCTATTTAATTTCACAGATAAGATAGACAACAGGCTTGAGAAATCCCATATAAATTGGATAAACTCTGTATTTCTATGTAGATGAGCAGCAGGCTGGAGGAGAACCTGTTGATTTTGCCATGAGTTTGAAATGATACACTCTGAAGAGTGAGTCAGAAATAATCCACATATTAAAACATCAGAAAGGGACATGACTAAGGTTGCTTCTGCACACATGCTGCAAACAGGCAAATGCAAAACACATGCATACCCATTTTTTGACATCAGTCCCCGATGTTTTTGTCAGTGTCACCAAGATGAGAGCATTCTAACCTTTCTGAAATGTGATAGTTTCACTATGAAGCACAGCAGCAGGTTACTATTTTGGTTAAACTATTTATGACTCTTTAATGTGGTTGCACAAGTCCTCCAGCACAGACAGCACCATCAGTTCAGCCACTGATTTGCCAACATGGCAACAAGGGAAAATAAAACAGCCTCGCCACAAGAGCTTCTCTTCATGTATTGGACAAAGAAGTAAAACCCTGATCTGACTTGCTCTGTAAGGTCTCAGGCCTTTTAGAGAATATGCATCAACAAGAACTCAGTTTAACAAATGCACGCGTTACTTAGAGGAGCTCCCAAGTGCTCACCTCCATGCAGCATGGTGGCTCTGCAGTTGGTGGACACAGCTGCCTTTGCTTCACCTTCTGACAGGCCAAACAGCAAACCTCTGTCACTGCTGCTCAGGATCAAAACACACAGGAAGCAACACACACAACAGGGAAGGCTCTCTGCACGACAGGCTTGCTTACTCTACAAATAACTGGGAATTAGCGAAGCTCTAACTCAAAGTGACATTTTGCATAAGGTTACCCAGAAGCAGAGAAATGAGGCACCCAATTCTCCTGGCTGCAGTTCCCCAGCAGCCCTCCTGGAAAGCTCCTGGCAACATTGCTTCTTTCCAGACAAGAAGCTGTACTTTTGAAAATGAAAGTCTGTCAACGCAGAAACATTTTAGATATGCATAATAAAGAAAAAAAAATTACCCCCCAGAAAATTTCAGTTTTGGGGACAGGGCACTGTCTGATACAAAAACATTATGTGAAGTTTCCAGCCACCTTTAGCAGGGATGATACCACCTTAGCTATGTTAATTTGGCTTCAATCTGACTGCTCATTTTAAGAAGGAAGAAAAAACATTGAGCATAAAATCCTTCCAGGCCACACAGCCTCTCACATGATTCTCATGACTCAGAGCATGCTCCTTCCCTTCCAGGGACAGGCCAAATATGTGCCTCAGGGGTGGGGAGAATAATAAAAATGCATCTGAACTCCTAAAAGAAGGGAAGAAAAGACACTCTCCTTTGTTTCTAGAACACAACAATGTTATTTAACTTTACATGTATAACTAAGGACTGGAAAATCCAGAACAGAAGGAGTTACTGCTCAGATAGGACCTTCTAATTTTACATAAAAACAATTTTATAGCTTCTGCTACCAAAAATGTGACACTTTGGAGATACTAAGTAATAATTTCTCATTTTGTCCATTGTGCCCTTAGACTTTTATGGGTTTTATTAATTTCTCCATTTACACCCACACAACATTAATGCACATCACAACACAACATTCCTGTAGCTGAACACAAACATTATTAGTTACAGTGACTTCTCATGCCACCCCATGACCAAGATCTCTTGCTCTTTCCACACACACTCAGAGCCCTGATTCATTGAATGCGCCACCAACAAGTACCACTGTATAAAGTTCAAGGACTGTAAAGGATGAAAAGAATTTCAAAACCACTTTAAACTTTCCAGTGTCACCACTAACTGCTGCCTTTGACTTTGGGAAAGGATACAGATTAGCCACATCATAAGGACCTCGGAGCTCTAGAGGCTAAAACAAAACAAAGAAGTTTGGATGCGTGAATGCCTTTGCTGTCAGGCTGACAGTGTGAACAGGCAGGGCAAGGCTATCAGATAGGCAAGATTAAATGCTATATAATAGCAAGCTACTGAAGATAATAGTAAATCAAGCAAATACCACTATTTTGGCAAACAGAGTGTCCAACTGGGAGAAAACTGTCATGGAAAACACCACAGCAGCAGTAAAAAAAATCCCCCAAAAACCAATAAAACAAAACAACCAACCAAAAAAAAGTCCTGAAACCCAAAATACAATTCTTTGGTAATGGCAATCATATTTAACTCACAATTTTTATATGCTTAATGTGTAATTAAAGCTGTACTTTCAGCCAGACAAATATTCAAATTTTTCTGACTTAAAAAAAAATCATCTGGGACTTACCCTTTCAGCTGCACTAGATATAACAATGTTCTGGAAAACAAAAGAGTATAAACATTCATCTGTCAGACAGCACCAAGAAATGAAAAAAAAAAAAAATCAGCAAGATGCAAAAACTTTTTGAGGATTAGCTAAGTTCAAGCTCAGAGCCCAATTAAACATCAGAGTATCTGGTGCCCTCAGATGAACTCTGTCAGGGTGGGAATATTAATTTAGGGACATGATAAACTTAGTTATTGCCCTGTCCCCTACACAGACACGGGCACAGGCACAAGCCCTCCCTTGCAATTACAAAACTCTCACAGCCAGAGAGGAGATTAGTAAGTACATCTCATTTTAGAGGGATAGGCTAAGCAGTGTAAGTGTCCAGAGTGATGGCATTAAGCAATCACCTGTCAGCCTGTACCTCTCACAGTGACTTCAAAGTGCCCTTAAGGATAAAGAAAAAACGCAGAGCAGAAGGCACTGTGTTAAGAACTGTTCCCTTTATTTACAACAGCTGAAAAAGGACCCACATAAACAACAACTCACCCTGAGCTGTAACAGAAATGGATGTAGGAGTGCAGGATCCCCCAGAAGCAGCTTACAGATAGTGCCTTGAGACAGTTCGGCGCTCCCAGATTTTCAGCCTACATTGTTGCAGTACCACTCAATGGTAAGCGGTCACGTCAGCCTTGACCATATCCACACTGGTTCAGGAAATCTACACTTAGGCAGTGGCAGCCACTTTGTGCCACACACTCATTTCCCTCAACACTGACACCCCTATGAAAATCACCAGGCAGAGAAATCCTTCTCCCTTCTCTCCCAAAAGGTTTCTGCAGAACAGGTATGTGACTACACTGGGATTGGAAGATCTCATAGCTCAGCTGCCAGAGCTCTTCTGATGCTAAACTCCAAGGATGCTTACCTAGGGGGAGCCTGTTTAGCTCAGGTGGTAACTCTGCCGCAGCAAAATCTCCTTGCACCTTTTATTATACTGAATAAAAGGCTTTGGGAATTCCTGCTTGAGTGGGTGAGAATTAGAACTGTGCTGAGGCACAGACAGACTTTCCCTTTCTGACGTCAGCACCACCAACACATCACCCATCTCTGGTTTCAGGGTGAGGCTTTAGATCCCTTCCCTACACTGCTCTGCTTCCCCTGCCACCTCCCCAGCACAAAGAGCTGGCACTGGAAGAAAATGCCCTGTGTGCAGCTAGAACTCAACAGCTGAAAGACCTATGTAAAACTGACTGCATGTTCACGGTGTGCCCAAGGGTTTCCTCATGTGCTGAGGAGAAGAGGATGGGAGAGGTGACTCTGCCTCACTACTAGGAAAGTCAGAAGCAGAAGCAATATATACATCAAAGTGACTTAAAAGCACGCATCCTGATGGAGCCCAGGACACTGTTTTTTTCTGAATAGTTCACCTTTAAATCCACTGCACTATGGATCCCAAAGGTGCTTTTGAGCCTGCTGACTGCAAGAGTTTGCTCGGAAAATTCAAGTGACCTGCTCCAAACTGTAGCAACTAATAATGCCTGTCACCCAGGCTCAGAGAAGCTCCCAGAGCAGCTGTATGAGACATCTGAAGCCAGCACAGGATTGTGGATCACTGCTGTGCATTGGAGATACGCTCTGCCTGGTTCAAAGACTTTCACTAGGGGATGGGTAAGATGGAGCAGGGAGACAACAGCAGGTAAGAAAAACACTGCTGGCAAGTAAAGGAGCAGCAGGCAAAGGCAAATCTAAGGCAAGAGCTAAAGGGAAAGCTAAAAGGCAAAACACCATCTCCCCAGGTAAAGCAGACAGCAGCTGTTCAGTACACTGCTCCAGGCAGCCTCCAACTCAGTTACCAAAACACGGGAGGTGAGGGACTGAAGCTATACACACCTTCTGTCTGGCAAGGCAGGGGAGTTTCTCCTTCATTCCCTGCATTAAATGTTTTATTTAAAACATTGAAATGTTTTAAATACACTGCTCAGTGCCAGCTCTGAGAACACAAGTAAATTTCTGAAGGTTTCTCTGCCCTGCTGTAAGAGAGGAGGAATGAAAGTATCCAAAAGCTACTACAGGTTCAACAACTACCCGTTACAGAACGTGAGTGTTGCATGCCAGGTGCCAACAGAAGCAGCCTATGGACCAGCCATCCCATTTTTCATTTAAACAAGGGCCTCCACCTCACTGACAGAGGCAAGCTCTAGGAAGGGCTAATAATCATCTCTGCTGGTCCACAGCCTACTGAGTCTGGAGGCAAAGAACAAAGACAAGCTAGCAGTCCTCTTCCAGTGCCTAACAACTTGTCATGTGCAGCTCCAGCTGATTTACCTTCCAGTCACAGATGAAACCCTAGACTGAGAGATGCAGAATGAAAGGGCACCGTGCACAGACTGAGTGCCTGAACATCTCGCTTGCCCTATCCATGACATCAACTCAACTGGTGCTCTCCAGTTCAACAACCGAAGCACATCCTGAACTGCACAGAGGAAGGAGGAGCAATATCAAAAAGGAAATTCCAAAGGCAAGTGGTTTGGTGTGTACAGAAGTCATGTCCAAGTCAGTACTTCATGTCATTAATTGGCAGAGCTGGGCTTCTCAGGAGAGGCTGTGCAAATACTTACCTCCTCTGTAGCACCAAGGAAATGAATCTGTTTGACCCACCCTGCTGTTCTATAAAAGTTGCCATGCTTGAGGAGAACTGAGGTAATGATGGATCTTTTAATTTACCTTCCAAGCTCTACATCCCACTTCAGATTTTCCAAATCCAGCTTCTCTAGACTAGCTACATGTGGCAGAGGCCATTTACAATACAGAAGGGGGAGCTATAATTTCTGTTAAATTTGATATGACCCCCTATTAAAAAACATGGCCTGAGAGGACACAGCATAACAAACAGCTTAACCTGGTAGCCTGGGAGGAGGTAAGTTATGAAAGCAATGGGTTACAGGCATCTCAAAGTTACTTCTTCCTTGGGTTTCAGTAGCATGGAAGAATGCAGTTCATCTGACTGCAGCAAAGCCTTGGCTGACAGTCAGCTAGCTGTTTGGTCTATTTTGGACACAGAGAATTTACTTGTTAACAATACAAAGTTTCTACTTTTTGTCTTATTGTTTTTTAGCCTCCACATTCAAAGCAGGCAGTCAAAAGAGCTTTTGATCAATGAGAGATATGAAGTGGAGGATTTTAAAGAAATACATGGATTTCAGTTCTAGGGCAAGCCTTATATGTCTGGCACTTTAATCTCTCTCCACCCCCTCCCACCTTTGTTTTGGGAATTGCATACCATAACAACACATGGGCTGTTCTGGAAAAAGAATCTAACAGCTTGACAGTTCAAGAAGAAAGCATGCAGCAGTGCAACACTGGAAGTATCTGGAGCTACAATGACTGTGTCCTCATGTTAGTAGGCCAAGATTCAGTCACAGCTTCAGATGTCCCAGCATCTAACTCATTTAAAATGGCTCAGTCTGTACAACTCCAGAAAAATTTGAACTGATTTAATTACCTTGTTTTCACTTCGAGAGCTTACCTTTCCTTTGCAGATCTGCATCAGGCTGATGGCATTTGAAATTGTGTATCTTCTCATAGTAGAGTCTTTGATGGCAGGCGTGTAAAGAAGTTCAAAGTAAATGCCTCGATCTATTGCCTTCACATGAAAGAGAGCGATCAAAAATCAAAAGGAGAGGAGCCTAACAATCTAACAACTGCTGTCTGTTATTGATGCAGCTTATTCTCAGTTTAACTGTGTCACACACCAAAAAATTAAGGCAGAATTGTTCCAGTAAGAGCACAGCATAGCATGAAAGGAGAGTGGGGGAAGGCTTCACTGTACACCAGATACATGTGCATAAATCTTGGACGACAGATAAATGAGGTTTAACAAACAAATACTAACCACTTATTTGCTGTAATTGGCTATCACTAATATAGACACACAATCAGAGTCGAGGAGACAGAAAACCACTGCTGGTTATCTGCTGTCTTGAAACTTTGAGGACTACTCCTCTAGTCCCACACCGTGCTGTAAGAAAGATGATCACTTCCCTCAGCAGCCATGTGTTGCAGATGAAGAATTCCTCCTTGCACAAAAGCAGCAACAAGGACCCTTCTCCTGTCTCACAGCATACTCTGGTGTTTGTGACAACGTTAAACAGTGAGTCACAGAAGAGATTTCAAACAGTAATACTGGTTATATTTTCAGCTGCTCTGACATCCTTTGCTATCTGTCACAGTGCCTCACCAAAAGCCCAGTATTCTTGTTTTGGCAAACACAGAAAGGTTAAGCAACTTGCACACAGTGTGCTAGCGACAAAGACACAATGTAAGGCCCGAGTTCTTTGTTCCATGGCAATCCTGCATTTGCCTGAAATGATACTCTTACACAAACATTATTAAAATATGCTGCAATGGCAATACTGTAAGAGAGTTCAGTAACTGAATACAGCTGGAATTAATTCAGCTCCCACCTATGCATGACCTCTGTATGCAAGCACAACAGAAGGTATATATGCATCAAATGCTTTACACAGAACTGGCCTGATAGCTGCAAACAAGAGAAGCCTGAATTTATAAAAACCAAACAGCTGATGGCAATACACCAATTTCCAGTCAAGGTGATTTTTAACCTCATCCCTACCACTTCAGCTGCCTGCCAATCTGTCTGGCATTGTAACAACCAAAACTTACTGCCCCAGAATGCACAGACCAGTCCAACAGACAGACTGCCTTGATGCTGGGAATGTGGAAGATGAGAAGTAGCTTGCAAGGAAAATGCCTCCTAACACAGGTCTCTAAGAGCCACACAGCTCCTTACCTGGGCCACCTGCTGTAGTTTTAGGCAGCTAGGGTACTTTCATACAGTGTTTCATACAAAACTGTTATTCCAAGTGGAATATTGAAATCCTCAGCTTACCATAAACTCCAATGTATTATTTTTATTCTGTCTCAGAATTAATTCTAGTTCATTTTGAATTTTTATTCTAGGTCAAACTTTATAAAAAAAAGGGAAGTAGGATCACTAGCCAATTCCAAATTTAAATTTTTGAGAACGAAGTTCCACATCAGCCAAGAATGCCCATGTGGAATGAACCTTTACATATACTCAGAGGAGAAAACAAGTTCCCATAAGAGCATGTTTAGATTAAATTTTCTAGCAAACTACCAACAGCAGGCAGAACTATATTTCATCCACACTGATAGCCATCTTGGGTCCCACAGCATGTATTTAGCGATGCTACATTTGGTTCATTTACTCAGACATTCTTTTCTCCAAGCATGGATTCAATACAGTTGTCTTTCAAGTAACCAGCACAACATCCTTCTCCTAAATTAACACTGCCATTCACATTTCCTGTCTTTTAAATCAAAGGGCTGTTTATCTGTTTTGACACAGCTGTACCATTTCTGGTTTGGGAAGCAGCTTTGTCAGCAATTACACCATATCTCCCTGCTTAGCAGCACAGTGGCCTTAAGGCTCTGTTTCCACTCCTTGGGAACACCACTTCTGCCTTCTTAAGTGGGGGACAGGAGAAGAAAAAGAAAGAACATACATCACTGTGTATTAAGTGCTGCAGTGGAGGCCCTGAAGTGAAGGACATTTGAAACAAAACTACACATTATGCAAGAAAATAAAAGAACCACTTGGATAGGAATGGTGGGTGGAAAGCAGTAGGGAATTCAACTCAAATTTTGTATTTAATGTCAGTCTAACAGCAAGAATACAATTTAGATGTAAATTTACCATATTCACAGGGGGCCTTCTGAAGTAGAATGGCAGCTTTTCTGTTACATTTATGCAGACCAGATCCACATCTAGTGTTGTGCAAGCAATCTACAGCAAAGAAACAGGAACAGATTATTAGATATGCCAAAAAATGCACAACCAACTTGAGATGCACTAATATTCTCCTTCATTTCTTAATGCAACAAATGTCTCTCCAGGGTGAGTTCAGTTTTAAAATTAAGAGGTACTATGCCTTGCAGGTATGCCAATACAACAGCAGCATTTGAGACTTAAAACCCAAGTCTTTCCTTTCTTACAGAACTAATTTTCCAATAAAATAATGGTCAACCCCAAAGCAGTACCTACTTCTTTGTTTTTATCTGACAGAGGACACACAGAAGCAATGCTGGCTTTTGACAAAAGAACTCACAGATAATAGAGGACAACCCCAGTTTAGAAAGGGAAGAGCCCCCAGGAACTGCCCCTTGTCCCATCATGCTCTGCTTCCAGTACAGCACCTGTTTGTTTTCAGGATTAGTTACTTTTACCAGAAGCAATAGAGAAGAGAATGAAAAAAAGCAGAATGTGACTGTTGGTGCTGCATGCCATATACTGGAGACCAATGCTCAGAGCCTCCCTTTCCTGGCTGGGTGCAGCTCCTCCTGACAGCCAGACCTCTGGCAGTCTGGACACAGCACTGAAGGCTACAGCTTAAGAATTTAGCTTTGAATTCACACCACAATTTACAGGTTGCATTAAGAGATGGAGGAAGTAAACAAGGGGCAGAGGCTCCTCACACTGAGATACAGGGAAAATGAAGGGAACCTAAAAGGGAGTCCTTTAATCCACAAGTCCACATTAATCTCATGCACCCAAATTAGGAATTATATATGCCTACTCTGTAAGGATGATTACACATGGCCAGACTAATGTCTGCAAGCAGTGCTGTAACAAAGAAGGTAAGACAGGATGAAGAGGCTGAAAAGGAATTTTCTGTGTGTAGGGGAACTCTCTGCACTCAGCAACCTGGCAGCAACTGCTCCAAATACACCTGGGCCAGGTGCCAACCATTCATCCCTCCTCCCACCGGCACAAAAGCAGTGGGGGCTGTGAGGAGCCCCTGGGGAAAGGGCTGCTCTAACACAAGGCACACTGCTGCTTGGCAAACTGGTCTTCTACCAGTTTGTTCACATGGAATTTGGACGGAGATGAGAGCAGAGGCCCAGCTTTAGGAATGTTTCCTAGCTGTTGATAGCACTCTCTTCTAGACAAGACAGCCACAAGTACACATGCAGGCAAACCACAAGGTTTTTGAAGTTGAAATGTCTCTGCCAGGACATTCAGACTAAACCATTTCTTCATGCCCTATCTTTATCCTCCATTAGGCAGGACATGGGCTGCCTGTGGAATCTATTGCATAGATTTAGATTTGCAAGAGGAAGTTCAGCCCTGCTACAGTCACCTTCCCTCCTTTTCTTACATGAGGTACAAACTACTACATAGAGGTGATTTATGGGAACATGCACAGAACAAATAGCTCCAAATCATGTCCTAGAAAATATGTCAGTGAAGTCACAAAAAATTCAGGAAGATATTATGGCAAAAATTAAGGAAGCAAGAATAGAAATCAGACACATGCAAGTTGTCCTATTTGATGAGACATCAAGCCTTCCTAATCAGCTCCAGAAACACTGGAAAACTCTAGACCATTTTGTAAATTAAGCACAGTGGGACAAGGAGTGACTCAAAAGCCAGGATATCTGCAGGATTCCAGTGACATGAACATTTCAGAAAATACCACCAAGTAAAAACAAACTGCGAGTCATATTCCTCGCATATGAGGAATTCCTGTACTGTACTGGAGAGCAGATTTCTCCAAGAACTCTAATGCTCAGCCTAGTTCTGGCTCCCAGACAAATCAAATATCCAGTCAAGCTAAGGTTACCCCTGCCTGCTGAAAAGATCTAAAGTGCAACAACTTCATCCAGAAAATGACACGCAGAAAGTTGCACAGCCCAGCAGCTGCCTGGCAGCACTGTGGGCAAGAGCCCCATCTGCTGGGAAAACTCCAGCCAGCCATTGATAAATACATCTGCCACTGTCTGGATGCCCTGAAGCAAGCTTTGGCAAACATTTTAGGAACAAACATTGAAATCTGACTTTGCACTACATCTTCAGCTGTACATACATAGGGTTTTTTAGATACTAGTGATGTGCTAAGTGCTTACAAACAGCAGACAGAACTAACTAATATTATTAAAACAATCAGAAATCTTAGAAAGCAAAGCTTTTGAAAAGCAGCAAGTACAGACCCCATTACCTGCATGGAGTGGGCATTCCTGTTGCAGGCCAAAACAATCTTTTTGGGAGACTTGAACAAAGAGCCCATTCTACAACTGGTGAATGTGGCTTCCTCATCCCCTTAAGGATATAAATTATTTGAAGAATTTAAGAACATTTTTCAGTACATATCACTGACACACTCAGCCACAAAAGAGCTTCCCTGGCTTTTGACAAGAGGGCACAGACTAGTTTTGGGCCATGCTAAAACTGGAGTACATCTCCAGTGGTCATGTAATTTTTTCACAAAAACATACAAAATCTTGTTCTGTGGAGAAAATGTAAGTGCCAAATTGTTGGTAAGAAAGATGATGCTCTTGAGCTAATGCTGAGTTACCAAAAGCCAATAGGAAGTTAATTTGTCATGCAAGGCCCACTCTTGAAGGCTTTATTCTTAATAATGAAATATCCATGAGTTGTAAGAGGCAAACTGTACATGCTGAAACCCCCTGAGTAAAGTCCCTTTCACCTGTGTGATACCTCTGTGAAACTGAATCAGCTCTCCACAGCAAGACATTCTAAAATCTCTAAAGAAAAGACAACCATACAAAGCTCCCTGAATGTGACAGATGAATGAAGTCTTTCACCTCATGCACTTTGCAAGAAACACACCTGGGTTCCATCCCCAGCTCAAAGTGCTGCCAGCATGGAAGCAATGGAGATAATCTCACTGACAATCCTGCTTCTTTCCTCACACCCTGTCCATCACCTGCCAGAGTGTCAGCTTAACCAGGCACTGTCTGCACTGGCCTGCCAGAGCACAGCCACCCGCCCTGCGCTGGCACAACTCTCCGCGTGGCTGGCTGCTGAATCACTCTGGGAAAGGGGATCTGCCTGGAAAATAACTTGGCAAAACCTCTGGTTACTGCTCAGCCAAAAGCAGGCTCCTCAAAGCAAAGTGCCATACAGCTGAACAAGCAAGCAGCCTCAGCAGCAAAGCAGACAGGGACCTGCAGAAATTAGTGGCTGTTTATGCCAATTTGAATGTAGTATCATAAAATAATAAATTAGCCTTCTGAGAACATGGAGTCAGATTCATCATTCCTTCCTGCCACGAGGGACCCTGCAAATACAATACATGACAAACTGATTGAGCTCACTGGAGAAATGAGATTTTACACTATTGCCAGAGATCAAAAGAAAGAAGTGGAGAGTGGCCTGCAAAAAATATTTTAAACCATTTGCCTCTGTCACACCCCGAAGAGTCTTAAAGTCTTTCAAGGGAAATAAATTCAGAAATTAGTTTCATTTTGCCATAACTCTTATATTTAATGCTTGAATTCTGCTGAAAAATTCTTTAAGGCTCATATTCTTTGACAGCCTCTTGCTTTGTAGTTTACTTGGACAAGTCGTGAAATAGGAGGGGAAATAATGTAGAAAAGCAAAACAGAATAATGCAATTCAAATGTGGCAAAACAGGTACTCAGCAGTACTAGGAAGTGGCTTTAGCTTATTTAAAAAAAACAACCACCAGACTCAGTTTTAAACTGAGAAGCTCCCTTTGAAAGTCATTTCTTCAAACAAACTCGCTTTTTTTTTTGCTGTCCCTCCTTCATGCTGCTTTAAACTGCATGCCTGCCTCCTGCCTGCCAAGGCTAACAGAGATGGAACATTTCCACCTACTCACCCAATTCAGACTTAATGTTAAGATTTACAAACTTAGTCAGACATCACAATTTTGGGTTTTGTAAGAAAAATTCTGACAAAAACACGACTTGTTTCAAGGTGCTCCACCCAATCAGAACATCAACATCAGCTGTTATCAAGTATCAAGAGAACAATTTAAATAAAATATGAAGGAAATGGAGGTGAACAGCCATTAGTGAACCACATTAGTTCCACTTTAAAATCCTCCCTACCATTTTTGAGACCATTAATAATTAGTTCTAACAGAAGATCATAAGTACATTTTTGGGAAGTTGTCAAGAGTTTGAGAAGTTAAAGCTGAAGACAGAACTTTTCTACATGATGATAGCACACATACACTGGGGGAAAAAAAGGATGTTTTCTCTCCTCACTAGAGTACAAGGCACAAAAAGGCAACCACAGTGCAAGGCATACAAGTCCCTTCATCAGGCAAATGAGGTAGATGTTTCAGACTTTAACCTGTCACCTCAAGGTCCTGCAGCCTCCTGCAAATCCTCCCAAACCCCTCAGCCTATCAACTGCCCAGGCAGCCTATAATGTTTGATTAACTCCATGAGATCTTTATAAAATGGGAAATAAAATCAAAACAAAGCATGTACTTAAATTAGCACAAAGCACTGGATGCTACTGAATGAGCATTACTGATGAGATTATTGTACTTACATGGAACAGTTTCTCAGTTTTTGGAAATACTGCTATGATGTCATATAACCTTATGTTTGCAGATGTTGATCTCTATAAAAGGAGGAAACAATTACTACTTTGAATTCTGACAGATGATGAAGACATGCACAATGATTACAACCAAAACAATGAGAAGAAAAATCCTTTTTCCTTGTCAAGTACTAAAACAAAGCCAATAATCTTCTAATTACACAGCAGGTTTCTACAGTGAAGTCATTTATTCTCAGTTTGAGGCTTGTCCCACCAATTTACTAAGACACACTTTTTGCTTTGATCTTGTAGCACGCATAAAAACATAACCAGATGCAAGGGTTGCTCATGGTCTTCTAGTTTATACACAGAAGTCCAGAAACCAAGGAACAGAACTGTTGTTCCATATTGACAAATGACCAACAGAAGCCATATACAGTCTTGTAAGTCTGCATCTCCTCATGATCACACTGCTCATCAGAGATGCAATCTCAGAAATCACTGCTGAGTGCCCTGTAAATTCCAGGATGTTGTCCCCATAGAATTTCCAAAGTTTCATTTATTCATTGAGAAAAAGAAATAAAAGTTGCAAAATTGATTGCTGAGTATACTTACCAAGAGGTTACAGTGGGAAGGATCAGAAACAACAAGTGTTAGCCGGGTCAAGACTTTAATTCTTTTAGATGTCCCCTACAGAAAAAAGAATAATATAAAAAAAATTTATTAACCTACATCAAAAATTTGTGGTAATTTCCACCCAATTTGCTAAAAAAAGAAAATTGGTGTCATCCTTATAGTCTTGTTATACTAATTTTCTTAAGTCTGTAGTTACACTTCCCTAATTTACATTATCCCTTTGATATTATACCTGTCTTTACAAAGAATGACTTACTGCATTTCCCTGGAAAAGGATCAATAGAAAGAAGAAAAAAAAAAGAAAAACAACCATGCAGAAAAATTGAATATGTTTTACTACTGCTATGATTGCCCAGGCAGGCCACAACTGCAAGGAAAAGCAGTACTTGAATTAATCAATGTCAGCGACCCAAAGCACATTATTGTATTTCTTTACATCCAAATTTTGCTCCATCAAAACCACAAAGTTATTTCCAAAACTTAAATTTCAAGAATTGTACTGTAATTATTCAACTACAAGCAAATTCAAAATTCACACAAAGCAATTTCTTTAATAATTTCTAAAATAATGAATAGAGCCTACCCTGATGTGAATTTACTATTCTTCCACTGCTTGGAGTTTTAACCATGAAATAATGGACAAATTTTTGTTTTTTGATTAACACCTCATACATGAAATCACATATACAAACACACAAAGGGAAAAAAGGGTAACTCAGAATAACAGTATATATATAGAATGTAACTAGACATACTTGTACAATAGGTAAAGATGGAAACAACTCTGAAGGGGATACTGGCTTGCTGATTTCCTTGAAAGAGAACAGAACAAAGTTATTAAAAATGTCATGGGTTATGTCTACATGTAAACAAAAACTGTGTTCCAATCTTAAGAAGAAATTCACCACACTAAGAAAGCTATTTTTGTGGGACAGTACATGAACCATATTAAAAATTAATCCGAAGGCAGTTCTAATGAAATATAAAATGGGAGTTTTGTTACAAATAGAGAGATTTGTACTTGTGTCTAGATGTGCATTCTGCAGCTAAAGCTATCTGGAAACATGCAATAAGGCAACAGGTTTACTAAAGAAAACACAGTAAGAACAAATAACTCCAAGAAAAATTACCTGTTTCTTTTCTTTAAAGTCGATGACATGATTAAGTGCAACTGCAGAATATCCCACTGAAAAACACACAGTAGGAATATTTTGTCCAGTAAACAAAAAGGAAACAAATCCAATGAGAAAACTGTAAAATGTTCATTAAATGTCTTGAAGTTAATAATCACGTGCATGTTTAGATTTCACAGTTTTTTAAGAAGACTTGTTCACCTGAAAAGTGCCTTAAAATAGAAAAAAAAAAAGTGTTTGGCTTTTGACATAGCCCAGGCCTGACAACTCTTACTCAAGGGCAGAGCTTCACGAACACAAATACATGGGTTGGTGTCCCCAAAGGTCTGGCCTAGCTTGGCCCTGCTTATGACTTTATGTAAAACTGCTAAGTGTACTCAGGACAGCTGTTCACACTGCAGACACGGCAGCGCTGGCAGAGACACAGCTGTGGGAGAAGGCAAAGCGAGCAATCCAAAGCCCTGCCGACCAAAGGGAGGAGAAGGTACGGTTCAAAGGGCCCTGAGGAAGGTGACAGACCTGCCGGGGCATTTAAACCACCCGCCCCAAACTCCGCACAGGCAGCACGTGGCTGAACAGCAGCTCTGCAGGAGAAGAGCCGGGCCCTACGAAAACTGCAGCCGGAAAAACTTGTGCACGTCGGGAAAAAAAACAACTGTTACACTGGGATAGGCAGGCAGAGCCAGAGCTGGAAGGCGCATCAGGAGCTCCCCTGACGTGCGGCCCGTCCCGGGCAGACCCAGCCCCGGGCAGACCCAGCCCCGGGCACTGGGCTAGAGAGGGCTGCGGGCTGAGCCACACAGCGGGGAAACGCGGCGGGGCGGGGGCGAGGGCCGGCCTGCCCGCAGGGAACGGAAGGCTCATCCCGGGGAGTCCGGCTATGCCCACCCCAGCCCGCAGGCTCCGGCTCTGCCTCCCGAGCCCGGTGAGCCACCGCTTCCTGCCCTGCCTGCCCTCCCCAGCTCAGCCCACCGAGCTCCGGGCCGGCCCCGCTCGCAGGACTCACGGTGCGCCGCGGCCTCCAGCAGGCTCTGCAGGGACTTCTTGTCCGTTCCCTGCGGCAGGTTCAGGTCGGCGAAGCCGGCCATGCTCACGGCGCGGCGGGCGGGCCGAGCCCCGGCACGGCGGCGGCGCACGGCGGCGGCACCGCCCTCCCGCCCGCGGCAGCCTGGGCCCTGTAGTCCCGCCCGTCCCGGCCGGCGGCTCCCGCAGCCCCGCGGCGGGGCGGGCTCCACGTGGGCCGGGGAGAAGCTGTGGGCTGATGGCTCAGGTCTCAGGCGGGGCCCTGAAGGAGATCCCCCGTGGTTGGTTCCCAGGCAGCGCACCCCGGGCTCTGAGGGACATCCCCCGACCCAGGGGATCCCCGGCTCGGCCGCTCTCCGCAGCCGCAGCGCCGGCGAGGCTCGCCGCGCCCCTCGGAGCCGCCGGGTGTCCAGCAGGTGGAGCGGTAGCCCTGCTCCAGTGGTGTGCTAGTGCCCTGTGAAACTCGTTCAGCTCTGTCTGAACGTGGCCAATAAAAATCAAAATCAATCTCTTCTATTTATAGTGTTGTAGTTATTCTCTTCCCTACAATGCCCCCAGCTGCCATGTCAAAGATATCCCCTGGCACGGAAAAGGACTGAGGAATTCTCACAGGCTGATAATCCAATACATGTTCGTTGTGTAGCATTGCCACAAAAAGTACTAATATTGTTCTACTGCTGGTAAATAGCACAGAATATGTAAAATACAAATGGAAATTCTCAGCAGGTGGTTTTTGGTGACTTAGAGTGGCTGCTGAAGACAGCAAGTCTGCAATTCCTGTCCAACTTCAGCTGGCCAGACCAGGGAGTCCTTCGCCTTTTCCATCTTCAAATTGGGCTACATGCTCACCAGAGGAAGTCTGCGGAGTATCTGGAGCCCTAAATTCTTAATAAGTCAAAAATGCTTCTAACCAAGGCCAAGGCTGCTGCCAAACCCTGAACATCCCTCCTTACAGGGTCTGACCTTGATGCAGCTTGTGCCAGCTGTGTGCACAGGACTTGTGGGGAGCTGGGACTCATATCTACCAGAGATCACTTGGTTAACAAAGTATGGCTGAGAAACAACAGTGCTTTCTTGGCGTGTTTCTGGACATCCTGCCTGATGAGTTACAAATACCTGGGATGGTGGTAGCAGAGAAGCTACTTGCAGGTTGCAGACACTGCACTAGGAGTTGAAGCAGTTTTGAGGGTCAGTAGAAAATAGCTCCCACATCTGTATGGCAGGAAAAATCCACATCACTCTGAAAGGGGTAAAACCCCCCCAGCTAGTAAACCATTGTCGTTCATGCCACATCTATGGCAGCATTTTTTTCTTGACAGTATTAGATCAAGATACTTCAATAAAGAAGCTCTGTTTGAGCCCATCTGCACCTGTAAGGTGCTTGCCTGTTACATTACATCAGCCAGTACTGCTTCTCTGCCAGCCATTTGAACAAGCAGCACAGCCTGAATGGTATTGCCAAGGTTTTTCTTCAGTGTGTGTGAAAATGGAACAGCTCGAGATATTATTCCAGGTTTTCTTTGGCTCAGTGTTTGATGTAACTTGATTTGTCTTAATGAATGTAAAAAGCGATCCAGAAGCATGTATCAGTTATTTCTGAATGGCCCTACTGCAACAGTGTTCAGAGATACCAAAGAAGATTAAGCAGCCTTTGTGTTTGGCAATATACAAGCAAAAGAAACCTTTCACTGATGTGCTTAAAATGGAGGACATTTAAACAGATCTTCATGTATAAGATCTGCAGAACCCTGTTTGCTGTAATGGTGTAAGAATCTCCATACAAAGCACTTTTAGCACCAGGTATCACAAATCATGTACTCAGAACCGTGCACAGCTTTATTTCCTAGTTATTCTTTAGTTATTACTGCTTTTATTTACACCAGCCCCAGTGGTCTGGGGAGAGCTTCCTTATGGTTCTCACTGTTAAGCTGCAAGCTTCTAACTTGCTTTGTTTCATTACTGTCCTGAAGTTCTCCTTGGTGAAAACAGATCTCCTCACTCCAAGTGCTTCTTGATGCACTTAGACCTCAAGACAGGCCTTTCAGTAAATTTTAATGCAGAAACTGTCACAATTCTTCTAATATGTTTTCAATGGGAAGCCCATGGTAGCAACTGTTAAGGTTTTTTTCCTTTGGTTCTGCATTTGGCACTTTTTGGGCGCTAAGATTTTATTTATTATTATCTGCCTCAGCAACTCAGTAACATGTCACAGTCACTTTTATCATAACCTCATAACCTCCATAAACTCCAATGTAAAGGTACAGGTGGAATTTTCAGAGTTGGGAGCTCTCATTTTGAGTGATACAGAATTTTAAGCATAAATGTCACCTTAATTGTCCACTTTCTTTTCAGATGCAAGCTTGCTGTTGTTAGTATTTGCTGGTTCCAAAAAAGGGAAGACATAATTTCATATTTAAGTTGCACAGATGAAAGTATTTATTTTGACAATGGTAAGAAATGGCCAAATATGGAAATAGTTACCTCTCTGTTTTACTGCCACAGAATGATGATGATTTATCTTCACAAAGGCAAGAAAAGGCAGAAAAGAACAGTGCAGCTGCAACATATTTGCTAGAAATTAGACAAGTGTTATTTGCTAAAGAGTACATGCTGGGAATAAAAATCAAGGTTTCAGTAATAAAGCAAAGCAAAGCAAAAAAAGGAAAGGAAAAAAAGAAAAGAAAAGAAAAGATGACAGACAAATGAAAACAACCATTTAAGGAGATAAGCTCTCTTAGGCAAGGAAGGACAAAAGAGGGGGTGATAAGAAAGAACAAAAGAATAAGAAAAATTTCTGATCTGATTGTTTATTGCATTGCATACTCATGTTACCTTCCTGCCATGTGTACAATATTGAATGGTTTATGGGGAATGTAGCAGTGTCTTCAACTTTTTCAGCTAAGAGCAGGGCTATTGTTTTCTAGAGGCAGCTGTGTGAGGGGAGGTGTTGCCGTGCTGGGCTGTCAGCGTTTTCTCCTCTGCTGCTGATGCTCTTGCACTGTGTTCCTTGACCCATTTCAGTCAGGATCCTTCAAGTTAGCACAGACCTGCTGTCTTGCAAGCATCAAGTCCTCCAGAGAGGGATGAAGGATCCAGGATTTAATGCAAGGTTTTTCAACATAAACACTTTGATAGATACAGTCTGGCCCCACTAAATCAAAATTTGCTTGGGAAACTGTATTTCCTTGGCTATCCTTAATGACCTGTCTTACCTTATCTCACTAACGTGACAGCAAAGAATTGATAGCGATAGTCACTGCTATAGTATGCACTTAGTATCAATAGCAAATGCTGAAGATGTTATGTGATTAGCACTGTTTCTGGAGGAGGGGAAAAAATTAAACATAGGAGTTAACTACTTAGGGAGAGGGAAAAAAAATCAAAGTAAAAAGTTCTCTTGCATTTTTTTATCTTTTTATAATCTGAATTTTTTCTATACAATAATAATAAAATACCAAAGGTGAGATTTGCAAATAAAGTTCATTATCAAATATTAACAAAATAGTTTAGCTTCACTAAGTGCAGAAAGAATGGGGAACAAAGGACTTAGCACAGAATTGGAGGTATATGGAAATATTAAGAGGCTTTTATGCATAGAGAGCCTAAATTACTCAAAGGACGGGATTTTACTAAACCCAGACAGAAAAATGATTTGATTCTATTTTTTGAAGCCTAATGAGAGGTGAAAAAGTAATTTCTTGGGTAGAGAACAAATGTCAGCTTGTTATTCTTGACACCTAATTGGACATTTGTTTCAATTCTGTATTCTGTCTGGAACAACATGTTAGAATTTTTAAATAGGATCACTGAAGACAAAAGTGGGATGTACCCTTGGAAAGATGGAGTCCTACTTTCCTTTGCTGTTATTTTAAGTGCCTAGAATAGATGTCATCTCATGGAGTGATGGACTCTCTATGCTTTTCCAGACACTGGCCATGTGAAACCCTCTAAACCCTCGTGGAAAGCAGCTCACCAATTCAGCCCAGCATGGGAAACTGGAAGTTATTTTAGGTGTGTCCTAGTAAAAACCTTTCAAGGAGCATATTTTAGAGAGGTGTCAGCTGCTTTGTCTTGCCAGGGTTTTTCACATCTTCTCTGCAATAGTACATAAATCCCTCTCTATAATGGCACCTAAATTGATTTAAATTGTTTTGTTTCTTCAAAGGTAAGATTACAACAGCAAATTTAAAGAGTGGTAACATGGCCTTTGAGAAGGAAAGAAATCAGGTGATTAACTTGGAATGAACTGTAAGGGAATTTAAGATACAGAACAAAAGGTTCAGTCCTACTTTTGGGTTGGAATGGGTAGGAGTGATCCCTACCCTACCAAATGATCCTGTGTATCATCCACTGAGAACATTTAGAGCCACATCCCAGAAGTGTATTGAAAAGCTGTCAAGAAGAATGACTGATTTAATGAACTGTGTTAATGCATTTGCAGGAAGCACCAGATTATAATTTGCTCTGCCTTAGTGACATTTTAAGCAACTGAAAAATTGGTTTTACTGGGAGTATTAAACTGTACAATTTTATCAGCTTTTGTGATAAGAATCTATTTTGAACAAAATTTACTAAGTTTCTAACTCCTTAGCTGTGCTTCAGACACTACTTTTGAAAAATATGTCTAACCAATAAGGAAACATTCTGTCTCCAAGTTTTGCATTAATGTTTTAACTTAGATATATCCTTGCAATTTCTAAAGACCTTTTTCTTCCTAATATTTGCTTAACTGAAGAGGACAAAATACTTCATTTATCACCTGGTGGGCTAACTCACCTGAAGCTCAACATATTTTGGGTGGTTAAACAGGGATTTTTATTTTGTGATTTTGTTTTTTTTTTTGTTGTGATTGGACGCAATAAAGCAACTAACAAAGTGTGGGGAAACACTTGACTGAACAGGAAATGGTTTCAACTTGGTAATGGTCAAAGAGCTGCCCAACAAGATCTCATCCTTATCATTGCTTATTTTATTATCTTAGTCAAATCAAGATGTGGGGTGGTAGGGAAGGGCAGCAATTGAACTACCAAACCCTCCATTTCTGACCACAGGAGGCATTGCCTGTGCTCAGTCTGTGTTCTGTGAATCAAGTATGCAAGCCTCAGTTGCTATGGATTTGTGTTTCACTAGTCTGTAGGGACTGTTAGTTGAGGTTTTTGGTTTTGTTTTTTTTCCCCCCAATAACTGGATATTAATTAGGTTTGTCTTCAAAGCAGATTTTAAAGTCAGTATAATGTGCAACCATCCTAGAGCCTTTCTTACTACTGAGCCACACAAACAGTTCTTCCCTGTCCTGCACATACTTAAATAAAACTTTCTTTCTTTCAAGATCTCCCCTCATTTAAACCTCATGGTAATTGATACATCTGGGACCAATGCTTTCCATTCCCTCTCCTTCTCTAGTTCACCTGGCTTCTGTCTCATGTTGACAATGTGAGGGACACTCAGGAACAAGTGTTTCTTGGTTTTAGTCCTTACTGTCTGGCATCATGTTGCTATATCACGGGGTGTGATCTTCTGCTGGCATCCCATGGGTAACACACAATTCAAACAGTTAATTTTTACCCCACTTGGAGGCAAGAATAGAACTTAAAGAACTGAGAAAGCTAGTGAATCCCAAAAATTGGCTTGTATCTAAGAGTCCAGGGAGCCTACAAGAAAAGCAGGTAATTCAAGCAATAGGAGTTTGTTGGTTTTAGCTTTACAGAAGGAATTACACACGGAGCACCGAGTAAATTCAAAATCAGGGTACAAAAATGTGAATAAAAGAGAAAATATAGGCGATGGTATTCACATCAGCTTATTATGAAGAAGAATCTGCAAGCTTGGATACACAGAGAAGAGCTTACATAGCCGGGACGCGCCGCAGGGCTGTGCCGGAGCCGGCAAACCGAGAGGCTGGAACCCCGCTCCGGCCGGAGCGCCTCCGCCTGCGGCCGCCTCTGCGCCGGCCGCGGCACCCGCCCGCAGCCTCCCGGCGAGACCTGTGTACACACACACACACACACAAATATATATATATACAGGGGGTTCCCAGAGCGCCCCTCGCTTGGGGCGGCCGCGAAGGAGAAGCCTCGGGAGGAGCCGGCTCTCCGGACTGCGGGGAAGGGGCGCACCGCCACCTGCAGCTCAGAGGGCAGGAGGGAGAGAGAGGCGGAGCGGTTCCCATCCCGTCGCCTGTCGCCTTCGGGAAGCAGCCGCGGGTGGCAGCGGGCGATGGGCGCGGGTGGGAGGGAGGGAGCGGCCGCCACCCCCGCCCGCCCCTCTGCCCGCGGGCTGGGGGCGATAGCGCCGTGCCCACCCCGCGGCCACCCGGGATGCGCCGCGGGCGAGCCCGGCTGCCCCGGGGCAAGTTGAAGGCTGGGTCCCCACGGGCCGCTCGGCCGGCTGCGAGGGGGCGGGCGGCGCCGGGCGCCCGAGGAGGAGCCCGAGCATCCCGGCGCCGGGGACAGCCGGAGAACGGGCGGAGAGGCTTCATGGGCTGCTCACGCCAACATGGTGCTCGCCCTCAACGGCAGCCACCTCTACGGTAACCTGCGGCCCCTGGTCCTGGAGGAGCCGCGGGCGCTGAGCGGCGGCAGGATGATCGCCGGCTCCTGGCCCCCGCGCAGCCTGGCGAAGCTCGGCCCGTCGCCCCCCCCGTCGGCGCTGCCCACGGCGAGCCCCCTCCCCGCCAACGACTCGCAGTGCGGGGAGCAGATCCTCAGCTACGGCAGCGCGGAGAAAGTTCTCATCGGGGCCGTGCTCTGCCTCATCACCCTGCTGACCATCGCCGGCAACTGCCTGGTGGTGATCTCCGTCTGCTTCGTGAAGAAGCTGCGGCAGCCCTCCAACTATCTCATCGTCTCGCTGGCCCTGGCCGATCTCTCGGTGGCCCTGGCCGTCATGCCCTTCGTCAGCGTCACCGACCTTATCGGCGGGGAGTGGATCTTCGGGCGCCTCTTCTGCAACGTCTTCATCGCCATGGATGTCATGTGCTGCACGGCCTCCATCATGACCCTCTGTGTGATAAGTATCGACAGGTGAGAGCGCCCGGCGCCCCGAGCCCTGCCCCGGCCTCCCGCCGCTCCGGGGGACCGGCCCGCGCCGCTGCCCGCAGCCCCGGGCGGGGGACCCGCACTGAGCGGTCCCACCAGCGCTCTCCTGCCTCCTCCTCCGGGTCCCTTGGAAATGAGCCGTGCTCAGAGCAGGGAGCGAGGCGAGTGCCGGCCCGCAGCCTCTCTGTTCGAAGGAGCCCGCCGGAGCACGGTGAGCTGCCGCCCGGACGCCAGCCCGGGTGCCTGGCTGTCCCCCTGGGTAACTTCCTTGCTGCCACTCGGGAGCCAGGCTGTCAAAGCCAAACCGGACCTAAACTGTCAGCGTTTACCATGGCTCTATGCAAGTAAATAGGGCATTTCCAGCTGCTTTAAAATTTGGAACATATGTCTTTAAATTGCTTTATACCACAGGTAGATTTGAGCTGATTCTTTCAAAGTGGCAGTGCAGCCTCACTGGGTTCAGCAGAGTTTTACCAGACCAGAGAAGATGCAGTAATTATAGCTTCCTAAGTTTTATCTTTATTCTAGGACAATCCCAGAATAGCTCAATTTAATTTCTGACAAATAATGTTTTGCTTGAAGGAAAAATTGCTTTCAAACGTTTGCTTTTTAAAAATTTGCATCTGTTGTCTTAAAATCCAAGTTATGCTCACTGGCATTTAGCTTCTTGCAAAAGATACAGTCACTGGAGCAACAAGGAGGTGTGTACACACTGCAGAAGAGTATCTTAGATGTTCAGTTCTGATGGAAAGCCATACTAAAGAGCCCACGTTTGCCTGTGTCAGTGCTCTGCAGAGGAAGGCTGACAGATCCTTTTTTCCATGCAGGTTCTATTCTAAAGTAAGTTGCAGCCTGTAGCTTCCCTTTTCCACAGCCTAAATTCTATGACAATAGTTTTAACAGCTAGAAGGTAATTTTTTCATTAAAACTTCACACAATTGGCTGAAATTGAAAAACCTTGTAACTAGATTTTATAAGTAGTTTACCAACTCTATATCCAACAGCAGCCTTGACTATTTACTTCAGAAAGTTTTAAGAAAAACTCTGCATTAGGTTTCTGCAAAGCAAGAATCTTTCGAAAGATATTCCTACAGTAAATGGAAGTTGTTTCGTATAAGGAAGCATCACAGTTTGTGTTAATTTCAGAACTTTAATTTCTGTACAAGCATCCTCTACTTTCGTACTCCTTATTTTGTGACCTCTGTATTGGCCAGCAGTTATCTGAATGCCTCAAAGCATCTTGTGGCAATGAAATCCATATTCAGACTTTGTCAGTATCAAATGATCTGTGTTCTTGGTGTTGCTTTGATTTTTAAAATTGCTGTTACATTGACATTTGCTTAATTTTAATTTATCTAAGTTGATTTTAAGCTTAATTCCTGTATTGCAAGAGAATATGGATAGGTTTATCTACCTTCCCAATGTTATTCTCTGCTTTTCTATTCTATTAGTAAGATAGGTGATTTCATTTTTACACTCTCTCCCCATTAAGTATTTCTATTCTTTTATTGTTCTTGTGTCCATCTCTGAGCTCTCCATCTCCATTTCTACCAACCTTTTGAAAACAGGTTAACAAAATTAATCTTTCTTAAGGATGTGTGATGATTCACACTGTAGCACTGGGCTTTTGCTCTTTTCTATTTCTTAATTTAACATTGGAGGTCACTGCTGTGTGCTGAACAGGGGCTTTGACTGAACTGGTCACGTTGATGACTGCATCTCTTGTTCTCTCAGTTCTCTCACCACTCCCCTCTCCTCCTAAAATACTAACAATAGATATATCTTTGTATTGAGAAAGAACATAACCTCTTGTAAATGGCTGATTTTCACCAGCTAGTGCTGATTTAAACTAGAATTATTTTCTCATCTTTGTGTTCTCGGTTCTTTCACTGAATGTTTGTTGAACACCATCTCTTCATAATTCATTATACTGTTGTCTACTACCTACTTGAAATTAAAATTCTGTGACTTATGATGCTTAACCTCTGTCACCCAAATCCATTATATAGTTGAGATAGTAGGTATCACAAATAAAAGGAGACAAGCCAGCAATTCATTAACAAAATGTCTCTACTACTCAGCAGTAAAGAATTAAAAAATCTCCATGATTTGTAATCGTATTTAAAAATAATTAATCTTATATTGCTGTAACACTGCTAAGCCAGGCCAAATATTAGTTTTGGATATTAAGAAATCTTTGAATAGTGCATATCTACAAAATATGCAAAGCAGGGAGGCAGTATGAAAAGCAAATGTGAATGATGAAATGTTGCCAGTGTAGCTTTGATGGTAATGGTGCTGTCATATTGGCAGCTGTTCTTACACATGTGTAGATAGAAAATCCTTGAATGATCGCTGAGGAAAATTTATCTCTGAAAACACATACCTCCAGTTTAAGTTTTGTTTGTGGTACAGGAGCTGCAAATCACAATGTATACAGTGCATAAGAGGTTCAGACCATTTTCACGAGGTCCATTTTTCCAAGGCTTTGGTGAAACAACTTCCATGTTTTCTATTATGTAGGAGAAGAAGATTACCAGTGATACCTCCCTTACTAGACTTACTATCTCAGGGCAACTAATACAAATACAGGATTAGGAAATTTCAATCAGAAATTCAGAAGCAGAGAATGTGAATGAAATTCACTGTCCTTCAAGTTGGCCACTTTCCTCAGAGGCATTTAGATGTACTTAAATCTTGAATATCCTGGGGTTACATGGGGGACATTTCTTTAGGAAGCAGGGTTAAGACAGGACAAAGAAGGATTTTTGAAATATAATTAGAAATTGTGCTGTCACCTGTCTCTTTAGGGCACTATAGGAACCTTTTGTTGTGATCCAGTAACATCTCTCCTGAAGTAAAAGATGAGGCTGTTGCAAGCAGTGCAGAGAGAACAAATAAATTGACTATTTAAAAATTTGTTGAATCTCTAGATTCTTCCTGAAGCAGATACGAGAATCAGGTATATAGTTGATAGTTGAAAGAATATTACTATTGAAATAATCTTAAAGAATCAAATTTGTTGCAAACCGCTAGGCAGGGTTTGTGAAGAGAAATAATACCTTCCATTAAACAAACAAGTTAGGAAAACAGAGGCTTTGAGGAGCTACCAAGGATAAAATGAGTAAATTGAAAAGGCTTTTTGATTTGTTTCCCTTGCACAAATATGTGCTACTCATCTTATGCCACTGAGAGCACTGAAATGCCAGCAGCTGGCAAGCCTATTGCTCACAGAGAGATTTTGCTGCACAGCCCTTAGTGCTGGATGTGGTTTTTAGCTGAATATATCAGCTTCTGAAAGAAGCATATTAGCATAGGGTATACAAATGGGCTGGTTTCATCCTGTTGGAAAACCTTTTTTTTTCCTAGTTAGACACACCAAACACTTCTTGTATGTTTTAAGTTGCTTCTATTCTAAGTTGTGCAAACTATAAGGGTGCAAAGTAGATGTTAGTGTGATATTATGTGCATATCTAACTGTGCACAGGGTGCACAAGGAAGCAGCTAGGTTGGAAAGGTTCTTTGATTATCCACAAAGATCTAAATTTGTGGAGATTTGGACTATTGTGCTTTTCTTCAGATAATATCTTCCCATTTGTTCCACAACATAAAAACCTTCACAGATCTTTGTCAGGGGGACATGAGATGAACATATATTTTAGATATCTCTATCTTATTGAAGCCCTCACTTTGGAGGAAGGCTGTCTGCTTGCAGGCAGGTCTGTCAGAACTAAAACAGATGTAATGGAGAGACAAGGGTATTTATGCCTTTTCAAATTTTTTGAGGATTAAACAGGCAATGATACTCAGCCAATGATTACCTTTGCTATTCCCTCCATCTGTGATACGAGTATTAGCTCTGTAGTACGAGCTACAGAGACTTTTGCAGGAAAATGGAACAGAATTGAATTCTTCTTTAGGAATTTCCTATTAGTGTGTTGGGATATTTTTTTCTTTTGCTCTTAAGGCTCCGCTTTTCTGGTTCTGAATTAAATAGATTATATCACATCACAATTCCTTTATGTTCTTTATATTTAAGAGTGAGAAAACATTAGGAGTAAATTATGAGGGGTGGATACAAACCACATATTAGTGGGGAATGAAAAAATAAAGGGAATTAATTGTGTTTGAACTGGTGGTGTTTTCATGCTGATTCATCATGCTGTTCTGACCCAAGATAGCTACAGAAATGCTGTTTTGGAGGGTATCCACAAGATAACTGCATAAGTAGCAATTTTTAATTCAATTTAAAAATAGTTTTTTGGCTTAGAAAGTGATAAAGAAACGTAACTACTCAGATGCAGTTGAAGAATTATAACACTTTCTCCACACCCACACAAGTAATGAAGCACTTTTTTGGGAACTTTTCCAAATCTATCTTGGCCAACAATTCACGAGTATTCCAGGCTTCCATTAAATTGATGAGGATTTAGAATTTCTATGCAAATAAATGTGCCTTTTTGTTGATCTTGAGATTTTTTTCTACAAGGATCAGCTCTCTTTCTCTGCCTGTGTTCTCACAATCCAAGTATGAGTACTTATGCTTCTCCTTAGAATGTGTCAGTCCCAAAAGTTCACTGGCTTATTGAGTCCTCATTCCATGTCTAGGAACTGTGCAGATCTCAAATTTCCTTAGAGGAAGAATTTGGAACAAAATTTAAATAAAGATTTAAGCACTTTCAATAGAATCCAGATGTCTAAATTCTACCTACATCCCAAGCTGACAATATGACCTGAAAACTGTTAGCAATTTGCTAAATCTAATGGCATGGCTTCCTATTTGCTATGAAGACTTTTTCTGCCTCAGTGCCATGGGTGGAAAAGTCAGCAGTCTGTTGTGCCAATCCTGCTCAGATCACTCACAAAATCCATGCAATATATATGCAGAAATAGCTATGAAAAAAACCTCTCTGTAATATATTTTGGATCTAGAATAAGCGTAGACAGCCACCAGTAGTGCCACTCATGAGATTTTGTTTAAAATA